TCGGCGCGCTGGTGGACAGGGGGGGGGGGGGGGTGAGGGCGGCTCCTGCTCGCGTCTGAGACGCCCCCAGACCCCGTCCTGGGAACAGCCCCCCCCCCACTCACGTGCTCAGAGCAGGACTCGCCCTCGGGCGCCTCCTCAGGGTCCTCACACACCACCTCAGGCTTGTTGATCTTCTGCATGTTTCCGAACTCGATGGCACTGAAGGGCACGCCTGGGAGCGCAGGCCGGTCAGCGGTGGGCGCCCCCCCGACACACACACGCGCACACGCACACACACACGTGCGCACACACGCACACCGGTCCCCCCGCCAAGCCCCAGGAGGCCCTCACCGTCAGAGAGGAACTCCGAGTAGACCTGCAGGCCATTGTAGTCACCGCAGAGGCCGCACGTGTGGTTCCGGAACTTACTGTCCAGCTCCAGCTGTCGGGGGAACAGGAGGCAGGTGAGCGGGAGGGGCGGCGGCCAGGCTGGGCCCCGGCGGCTCCCCCCGCGTGGGCGTCTGGTGGGGAGGAGGCTGGAGTTGGCCACTCCGTTTCCGGATGCCAGGGGTCACTGAGGACGGGGGCGGGGGGCGCGAAGGGCCAGCCCAACCCCCCAGGCCCTGAGGGCCCCCTCTGCTGCCGATCCACTCGTGAGGAGGGTCGACCCCAGGCCGCGGCGGGGGCTGCACCCACCATGAGGGAGTCTTCCCGGTTCCACATGAGGGTGAGGCCTGCGCGGGAGAAGACCTTGATGTAGACGTCATTCTTCTCGATGAGCAGCCCGGGGCTGTAGTGCGGGGTGCTGACCCTGGGGAGGGCGCGCCGGGCGGGAGTCACACGCAGCCCACACAGCCACCCCCTGCCCAGAGGGGACTGAGGCTGCGCGTCCCTTGGGGGGGTGGCCTCCACTCCCAGTGCCAGGGCCGCAGACGGCGCGGCCACCCTCTGCAGCGGCTGAGGCCGCAGCAGATCAGCCCCTGCCCACCTGGCCTCCGGGGGCATCCTGCTGCTGCCCGCCCCTCTCCCCCTCACCCCTCCTCAGGGCCCCAGCTCTGTGCCCCGAGGGCCTGGACACACCCCTCCTGGGGAAACAAAGGGCAGACCCTGGTGGAGGCAGGGCAGGAATGCAGCTTAGAGCCCCATTGTTCCCCAGACAATGGGGGACAAAAGCTGGGGAGGGGGAGGGGCTCCCCTTCTGTAACTGGAGCCTGGGGCCCCCAGTACAGGATGGGTGAAGCCCCTCGCACCCATGGGGGCTCCTGGTAGGAGCCTGTGTTTGCTGCGTGCCTCAGTGACCCGGACTCAAACCCGACACCGTCCGAGCTGGTGGAGGGGCTCGCGGGGCGGCCCTGCCCCACTCACATGGCCCCGTTCACCACCTCCAACTGGCGGGTGAGGTAGATGGTGTCGTCCTTGATGGTCAGCAGGATGTACTCGACCTGGGGGTGACCCCCATCTCGGCCCAGGCCCCGCTTCAGGTGCACCGCAAACTCCTTGTAGGAGTCCCTGCAGTCAGACGCCAAGTTGTAGTCACACAGGCCCGGGAAGCGGAAGACGTCGCCGTCGAAGGTCTTGTAGTGGAAGTTGCCCCAAGTGCTGCAGACGCTGTGACCGTGGTTCCGGGCCCTGCCCTCTGGGGGAGCAGGGACACGTGGGGTGGCAGGGTGAGCGGCCGGGCCCTGGGGGAGCCTGTCCCGAGGCCCCTCCCGGCAGCTGCCCTCCAGGGACCCTCCGGGAGCCGGCCCTTGGGGACTGGCCGCCCCCCCCAGCGGGTCCCTGCCCCCTAAAGGGACATCTCCAGCCGCCACACCCTTGTACCCAGCCTGGCCTGGAATGCGGCCAACTCTCCAGGCACCAAGCGGGGCAGAGGGGCTTTCTGGAACCCGGGGCACCCTGTCCACATGGCCCCGGGCCCCCGGCCCCATCGCCGCTGTACCCCGTCCAGCCTTCCCCTGCACCCACTGCCCCGCACCCACCAGGACGGCGTCCCTGGGTGCTCACTTCGTGTCCACACATTTGGGGCCACAGCCCCCCCAGGGGCTTTGTCACCCAACCCGGACGGGATGGAGATGCGCCCACCCTACGTCCCCATTCTTCTTCGTCTGGAGTGCTCCCTTGAGCACATGGCCAAACACCCCAGCCTGCGGGAGGGCTACCTTGGCCTTGGCCCTCCAGGGTCCCTGGCACCCGGCTCCTCTCGGCTGCGTCTGCCCGCCCCCCGGGCCCCCGGACAAAGGCCCAGCTCAGGTGTTTGCACCTGGCACCGTGGCCTTGCCCACACACTCCGGCCCGAAGATCACCTTCGAAGGGATGATGGGAACCCAAGACCACCTTCCCTCCTTCCTTCTCTCCACCCAAAGTCAACAGGGGTCGAGGGCAGGATGCCCGACCCAGGCTGTGCACCCCGAAGGCTGGGCAGAGGAGGGCCTCTGCTCTGAGCCGCCACAGCCTTCCCGCCTCCCAGGACAGGCCACTGACCACCTCCTCACCTCTCCGGAGCTCCGCACCCCCGGCTGAGCTCAGGGCCAGGCAGATGGCCACCAGGCCGGCTAGCGGCAGCCGCATGGTGGCTCAGAGGGTGGCGGGGGAGAGCAACTGGGGCAGGGGTCCGGGCCTTATATGGCCCAGCAGGACGGGCAGAGGCGGGGAGAGCAGAGGAGGGGCAACGGGTGGGTGGGGCGTTTGCCAGGTTATCAGGAAAACAGCTGTGGGGGCTCCGTGGTGTCACTTGGGAAATATTGATTCAAGTTATCTGTGGTTTATCTTTTTATTGAGCCCTCAGTAAAGCCAGCCCTCCTCAGGATGCCGCGGCCCGCGATCCCAGTTCCGACTAACACACACCCTCCCAGCAGCGTGCGGGTCGGGGCCCGCCCGGAGAGGTCCTGGGCACCCACATCCCACAGGCCCCGGCTCCTCCCGGCCACGCCCACCCTGTCCAGCGTCCCAGCGGAGTGAGGGTCTCAGGAGGTGCTTCCCCCAGGGGCTCCCAGGCAGAACCGCTGCCCCGCGTCAGCTCCTCTCCTCTTCCCCACCCCGGAAGCCCTGCCCCCTCTGGTCCCCAGCCGCCCCTACCGGGGTCCCGAGCCTCCCAAGGCCGGGATGTGTGGGCTCAGTGAGGCCCGGAGGCCGCCCGTCTCCCTGTGAACTCCGCTCCTTGCCGGTTCCGGCAGGCAACTCACCGAGTAACCTCAGGCCCCCAGCTCCGCCCGCCCGCTAATCCCCTCCTGTTCCCAGGCTGGGCCAGTCTCTGGAATTACCTGTAACTGGAACTTGGGGAGCCCAGCCAGGGGCCGCTTTACCGAAACACATCCTCTGGGGCACGGAGGCCTGGCGGGAGGCTGGGCGTGGACGTCCTCGAGGGGAGCGCGGCCCCAGGCCATCAGCCTCCCCTGCCAGCCGGCAGCTTTGTCTCCTGGGGGGTCGAGAATGAGTCTCAGCCTCCACAAATTACCATCAAGTCGTCCCGAGCTTCAGGGGCAAGTGGTGGGGGGAGGACTCTTCTCAACAATCACTGAGACTCTGGATGAGGTGGGTGTCCGGCGGATGGGGCATCAGACACCTCACCTCCCTGACCCAGGCTACCCCCAGACGCAATGACCCGGCTAGAGTCAGCACCTTGGCTAGGCCGCCGCCGTGTGGGCCCTTCCTCTGCAGACAGGACCTCCACGCCACAGTGACACGTAGGGACGAGAAGCCTGGTTGTGCCACCTGATGACTCCTGGGGGACCCACCGAGGGGTCGAGACCCCAGGGTCTAAGAGGGTGACTGGGAGCCAAGGGCACTGAGCCTGCCACTCGTGGGGGCCTGGGATGGAGCCCCTCCTCCCATCCCACTGTGCTGCCAGCCCCAGGTCCAGAGCCGTCCTCTGCAGGGACCCGGGGACCCGGGCATGAGTATATGGCCTGAGCCAGGAGCAGCAGGGATTAGGAAACCAGAGCCAGCAGGCCCATTGTGCCACTTCCCCATGGGGCTGAGCAGGCTGGCACCGAGCCCTGGGGAAACCCAGGAACAGGGGCCCCTCACAGCCCCCCGAGGCAGTGATTTTCCATGCCAGGCTTCCTCTGCCCTGCTGGGATTCAGAGAAATCCTGGCCCGACACTGGACGTCCAGCCCAGCCCCTCCTGCCCTGAGTATGAGAGGCAGGAGTCCTCCCTTGAGATTCAGAAGGTGGGGTCCTCCCCTGCGGTCTGAGAAGGTGGGGTCCTCCCCTGGGGTCTGAGAAGGTGGGGTCCTCCCCTGGGGTCTGAGAAGGTGGGGTCCTCCCCTGGGGTCTGAGGAGGTGGGGTCCTCCCCTGGGGCTGAGAAGGTGGGGTCCTCCCCTGGGGTCTGAGGAGGTGGGGTCCTCCCCTGGGGCTGAGAAGGTGAGTCCCTCCCCTGGGGTCTGAGGAGGTCAGCCCGACGTCTACGCGTGGGGCACAGTGCTGACTCCTGGCCCCGCTGCAGGGTCTCAGGTGGGGCCTGAAGAGTGGCGACATCAGACCGCCAGGCACAGGGTGGGCTCGGAGCGCGTGGTGGGGAGGAGCCTGCGGAAGGCTGCGGTGAAGGTTCCGTCAGGCTGGCGATGGGCGTCGCCCCGCCGCCCCCAGCAGGGTCGGGGACGGTTCCCGTGCTCGTCTCCACGTCGGACCCCCGTCAGCCCTCGCTGCCAGCTGGGCTTCCTCGCTGCGGTCGCGGGCCCCTCCCAGGTGAGGCGCGGGGCGCGTGCAGCCTAGGCCGACTGGAACGTGCCCGATGGGACCGCAGATGCCCGGGGCCCTGTGGACGGGCGCGGGGAAGGGACTGTGTGCCCTGGACGCCCCCTCCCTGCCCATCCGTGACAGCCGGACCCCCAGCACGGGGCGGGGCACCTGAGCCCCCCCCCCGGGCCCCACACCCACCAGTATTTACCCTGACAAGACACCGTTCCCAAGTGTCGCCCGAATTTACCACAGGGAGGAGGCCACAGACGTCATGAAACGCAGCCTGAAGTGACTGTTCCAGTGCTTTCTGTCCACAAAGCTGACTCATCAGGAAACGGAAGGGTTATGGGGGGGGGGGGTTGTAGGGAGAGAGGAGGGGGTGGGAAGAAGGTTGTGGGGGGAGGGGGTGCAGTAAGGAAGGAGGAGGAGGAGGAGGAAGGAAGCTTGTGGAGAGAAGGCAGAAGACAAAGCCTCACACCTGTCAGAGAGACCTAAAGAGAGCAGGCGTGTCTGCAGCCCACCAACACCCCCTACCCTGTCTGAGCCATGTGGTGTGAAGTTACCTTCATGCATCAACATGGCTAGGCCATGGTACCAATTTTTGATAAAACACCAGTCTAGATGTTTCTATGAAGGTATGTTTTAGCTGTGAATAGATCACCCTTTATAATGTGGGTGGGCCTCATCCAATCAGTTGAAGCCTTAAGAGGAAAGACTTAAGTGCTCCTGCCTCCAGATGGCCTTTGGTCTGGAGCTGCAACATCAGCCTTCCCTGGTGTCCAGCCTGCAGGCTTCAGACTTGCAGGTCTCACAATTTCTTTGAATAATCTGTCTCTGTCTCTGTCTCTCTGTATGTATGTGTATATATGTCCCTCTCAGACTCTACACCCACCCCCGGCTCCGTGGCTCTGGCCCAGCCTCGGCAGGCAGATGGAAGAAATGGGTCCTCAGCCCCTCCGGACATGCAGGGGAGACCCCAGCCCCAGCAAGCCACAGGGAAAGGGCTCCTGGCAAGTGAGCATCTGAGGATGAAGGGCAGGCAAACAAAGCACCTGCTGTGCCCACCTCCTCCCCATGCCGTCCCCAAGACATCAGGAAGGAGAATAATTCAGACATCACAGTATGCCCATTTCCTGCACCTTAAAGGCCTATGGGTGTGCAAGACCAGGTCCCACATCATCTCCTCCTGGACTGCAAGTTTCCCCCAAGCGCTCTGTAAAGTGTGGATGGGTAAGCACACAGAGTGTTTGTTCTGGGTAAGAATGGGGAAGGGCCACGTTAGCAGGCTGGGCTTCTTGGCCTGGGCTCCCCTGGGCAGGTGGCCTTATGAGGAAAAGGCCACTGTGCTTCAGAAGACCAGCCACCTTTAGGCAGTGGTGGACCTAGTCCAAGTGGCATACCCTGACCCTGACCATTGTCAGCACCACCCTGACCACAGCGTGCGACTATTGCTGGCCTTCTTGCTGTGAGTGCCTTGAGAGCAGCAGCCCTTGTAGGACCCTCCACAGGCCAGCCTTACAGCAGATGTGCTCAGTGACTTTGCTTCTGGGTGGCTGGGTGGGTGGAGGAGAAAGGAAGGTAGGGATAGGAGGTGGATAGGGGGATGGGTAGATGATGAGTGGATGGATGGGTAGATGATGGATGGATGAAGGATGGATGAATGGACAGATGAATGGGTGGGGGGGGATGATGGATGATGGATGGATAGTGGATGAATGGATTGATTAGTAGGTGAACAGGTGGGTGGATGGATGAGTCTGTGGATGGATGGACTGATAGGTGAATGGGTGGGTGAATGGATGGGTTTATGGATGGATGGATGGATGGATGATAGATGAATGGATTGATTGGTAGGTGGATGGGTAGGTGATTTATGGGTCTGTGGATGGATGGATGGATGAATGGATGAATGGATGGATGAATGGATGGATGGATGGATGGATGGATGGATGGATGGACTGATAGGTGAATGGGTGGGTGAATGGATGGGTTTATGGATGGATGGTTGGATGGATGGATGATGGATGAATGGATTGATTGGTAGGTGAATGGGTGGGTGATGGATGGGTCTGTGGATGGGTCTGTGGATAGCTGGATGGACAGATGAATGGGTGGGTGGGTGG